AACAATGTATATATAGATATGGGTATAACATAAGGAAACTGGATGTAAATTTTAAAACGTGATTTGGAAAGGAGGATTAGAAAACTTTGTTATTATATATTATGGATGTTTAGCTAGAATAGGACACAAACATTTAGTGTTAATGGAGGATTTTAGAAATAGTAATTGAAAGGCCAGTATGTGGCTATGTATTAAATCTTGGTATATTTTATGATGAAGGATGTTTAAACAATTATAGTCAAATGAAAATGGAGATACGATGATGGTGACATGTATAAATATCAGAGTTAAAATACTTGAGTTAATATGAAGTATGTTTGTTGACTGCGGAAGAGATGCACAAAAGTCTTTTTGTAACCAACTGATACACTTTCTACAGCATGTAAAGGAGGATGTTGGGTTTGTTTTGAAAATAAAATAAAAATTATAAAAAAAAAAGGACCTGAGAAGGATGCGGTGATCCTCGGGGTCAGTTCTCCAAGGCCACCTTGGCTTCAATGGGAAGACAGGAGTGTCAGCCACGAAGGACCCTCCCTGACCACGAGTGGTGGGGAAATTCCCTGAGCCTCCACGTCTTCCATCTCCACTGATTGTCCTGGTCTTCCCAGATCCGACCTGCCCTTCACCTCCACCAAAGCCTCTTTGCAGGCTTTGCCCCTACACTACAGTTTATAATTTAGATTTATTTAATATATGATGAAGAACTTTTACAGAAATTGGGTAGGTCTAGTCCAGTTAAAGAAGGACGAGGGGGGACATGAGGGCATCTTCCAATATTTGAGGGGCTGCCCCAAAGAAGAGGGGGCTCAACCTCTTCTCCAAAGCACCCTGAAGGCAGGACAAGAAGCAAAGGATGGAAACTTATCAAGGAGAGAAACTAAGGAGAAACTTCCTAACAGTGAGAACAATTAACCAGTGGAACTGCTTGCCACCAGAACTCCAGAAGGGCATCGTTTTTCCTGCGTGAACAGAGGGTTGGACTAGAAAGCCTCCAAGGTCCCTTCCAACTCTGTTTTTCTGTTCTTTTCCTCTCTGATCCCTCCTTGTACTGATAGAGAGGATGCAGCCTGTGGCTAATTTGGGCCAATTAATGCCACGTTTCACAGCCATGGGGGGAACCAAGAAAACCTCCCAGGTGCCCACGACTTTCTCTCCCTTGGAGAACAACGAGGCCCCCGTTTTTCAGAAGATCGTGATCCCCCAAAGACTGCAGAGGGGAGAGCGACGCTGAGGGCGCACCCATAAAACACCAGCAGCCACTCTGGGTTCCCCTCGACCTTTTGTCGAGCCTCACGGAGATTCCTCTGACAGCCCAACCGCCTGCTGGGATGAACGACCCAAGAGGAGAACATCCATTAATTACCCAGCCTTGTCCCGAGCGTCCTTCCTTCCCCCGCACGGCCAGAATTAGCAAGAGCACAAGATCAGAGGCAAGGGGACGGGTGTTGAAACCACTGCTGCAAAATAAGAGGGAAGCTCCTGAGAAGCCCCCTGCCAGCCTTGTGCAGAATAACGGAGGTGGAAGGAAGGCACCTTTGAGGTCTTCTAGTCCAACCCCCTGCTCAGACAAACGGCTGTCCAACCTCTTCTTAAAAGTCTCTGCTGTTGGAGCCCCCACAACCTCTCTCCCGCCGATTAACTCTTCTCACTGCCAGCAGATTTCTCCTTGCTTCCCTGCTTCTCTCCCTTGATTAGTTGATGGTTTAGTTCCCATCCTTCTTCTTCTGCCTTCAGGTGCTTTGAAGAACCCCCATCTTCTTTGTGGCAGCCCCTCAAATATGAGGGTGAATATGTCACACACACACACACACACACCGGTCCTTCTTTTCATTAAGATAGTTCCTGCAACCGTTCTTCATATGTATTATTAGCCTCCAGTCCCCTAATCCTCTTGTTTGCTCTTCTCTGCCCTCTTTCTAGTACTTTAGTTTAAGGAAGAGAATAAAATTTAACAGAGAGAAGAGTAAAGTTCTTTCTTTATCTCACAACGGCTCCACCAGCTGCCTCTCCAAAGCCCAGGAGCTGCCACATCCACGCCTGGTCATGCAAGGGACCAGCATGCTTCTCCCCCCACTTCACACAGCCTCCACTAACCCTCCCCCTCTTAGTAGGGCACCAGCCCCACCGGTTTCCCTCCCTTCCTGGGACCAGCTGATGTGGCAGATGCCAGAGGAGTCACTGGCGAGGGGCTCTCGACTAGCATCTGCGGTGCGTGTCAACTTCTGTTAGGGATGCTCCTTTTCCCTTTTCTGATTTCATGCCTTTAATTTATTCATTTTATTTTTGCTTATTTCTTGTCGCTCCCTTCGTAACATCACAGCCGTTTAGAGCCAGATGACTTGAAGCCGTCAGATGACAATTGAAATTAAACTCATGTCCTGGGGATGCTTGTCTGAAGAAGGGACGGTGGTCAGCTTGAAGGGTTCCCCTGGGAAGCTTTGAGGGTCCCTCACATGTGTCGCTCATGGTGGGGTGGGGGCAGGGAGGTCATCTTGCTTCTTGGAAGAAGAGACACCCCCTTCCCCCCGACAGAGGAGGGCCCAACTCCACCCAACCTTTCAGCCAAGGCCTTCAGGCTTCCTTCCTCCAGGACAAAAGGGGAGGTGGGCCACAGAGAGTCTATCTCTAGCCTACCGAAAAGAAGGAGCAGGGGGACATGAGAGCAGCCTTCCAATATCTGAGGGGCTGCCCCAAAGAAGAGGGGGTCCACCTGTTCTCCAAAGCAGCAGAAGGCAGCACAAGAAGCAACGGGTGGAAACTAATCAAGGAGAGACGCAACTTGGAATTAAGGAGGAATTTCCTGACAGTGAGGACAATTAACCAGTGGAAGAACTTCCCTCCAGAGGTTGCGGAGCCTCCAACACTGGAAGTTTTTAAGAAAAGATTGGACACCCCTTGGTCTGAAATGGTGTAAGGCCTCCTGTGCTTGAGCAAGGGGTGGGACTAGAAGACCTCCAAGGTCCCTTCCAACTTGGGTGTCCAATTACAGTTGCAAGTCAAGTCCTCCCGATCTGGTCTTTGTGGGCAGGCCTCCCCTGAGGGCCAGGTGGCCTTCCGTGAAAGCCTGAAGACCCGTCTTCTCCCTCTGGTGCCGGCAGAGGCTGGCCTGGGAGGGAGGTGGGGCTGATGGCCGATCTTTCGGAGGCTCTCAGGCCGAGTAGTTTTTAGGATGCTCCGCTTTGACATTTCACGACATGCTTTCCCCAGATCACAAGGCGGAGATGGGTAAATGCAGCAGCGTATAAACCTATCCCACCCACCCACACTGAGCCCAAAGAATCCATCAAGCAGACGCCTGGCACAGGCCCCACCACCTGCTGACAAAAGCCAGACATTTGGGAGGCAGGAGCCTCCGTGCGGCCTTCAAACCTGTCAGCTCTCTTCCCACCGCAGGCCCAGGAGAGCCTCGCCTGAGCTCCCCCTGGATCGCTGCAGGTGGAGCCGCCTTGATCTGTTTTCAGCCCAACCCCAACCCCCGCTGTCCTTTCCTACTTTGACCAGGCAGCACAGGGCATCCCCCCTCCCACTTCCCTTCTCATGGCCCCCTGTGGCTGGGCCTCCCCTTCCCCTGGCCTGCTGCAGGCAGCCAGCCTCCTTGGCCTGTTAGCCATGCAGGGGTGGGGAGGGGAGGGGGCTAGAGGGAGGGAAGAAGGGAGGCAGGAGGGCTCCAGCGAGGAAGAGAGGAGGTGGGAACAGGGGGGCCTCGAGAGGAGAGGGAGAAGGCGGGGAAGAGAGGCGGTCCCAGATCCGGAAGCTGGAAAAATCCATCCAACTGGATCCCTTTTAGCGGCTCCCCACTCAGCCAGCCCAGCACACAAAGCAGATCCGGCCATGAGCAAAAGGCCAGGAACCCCACCCGAAAGTCCAACTGAACTGATTTATCCCAACTAAAGCAGTCAACAGCTGCTCGGAGTCAGATAAGGGTCCAAGGGACTCACGCTGGGTTGGCTTTGGTACGTTTGTGGCTACGGAGAGATTCTAGGCTGGTTCCTCTTTTGACTCCGGCTCCAGGCTCTGCTTTGCCTACAGTTGCTGCCTCCTGCTCCTTCCAAAGGCAGCTTTCGCCCTTCCTTTCGCTTCTCCCCCTCCCCTCTCTCCATCAAGGGCTGAGGTGTTTCTTCAAAATGTTTTCTTACTTGGGGAGAAACCCCCCATCATCTATAAACTCTTCTGGAGAGAGTTTGATCCACAGACACGGGAAGAAATGTTCAGCCCGGACTTGGGAATCAGCAAAGGGGCGCAGGGCCTGCCAACCTTCACCCGCAGGGGTGTGAGCTGAAGCACTGTGGCCCCCGCCTGGGCAGATCCATTTCTCTTCTAATGGTTCCCCCTGGCTGGGGGGTTCTTTGCCTAGCTCCCCCTAGCTCCTCCCCCTGAGGACCCTCAGCCCTCAGACTGGTGGGCTGAGGGTCTCATCCACCAGTCAAAGGACTCCAGGGAAAACTGTATATTGCGTGGGTCAGAAGGAGGGCAGAGAGACTTAGGCTCCTTGTATCCCGGCCATCATCTGCTCTCTCTCCTCGGGATGGCGCTACAGGGCTTTGCACGAGACACAGGGAGACCTTTTCCCCTTGAGTCATCCCTCTGCTGAACATCGAAGTCTCCTCGCAGTGCCGTGAGAACGTCCAGGCTCCCCGTTTCCTAGCCGTATTGCTAGCAGGCCAAGTCCCTGGGCTGCTGTAGGAGAAGCGATGGCCGAATCCAGGGGTGGAGCTGAAGGAGGAATCGGCCCAGAATCCCCTCGTAGCCACAAGCAACCTTGGCTTCCGCTGCCCTCCTCTGACCCCCGGCAGGGGCCGAGCGCTAGTGGGGAAGGTTCCTCCGCAGAGGCTTTTAGCAGCCAATCACTCCGACTGAACCTTCGCAAGCAGATCTGATCTTTTGTGCCTGACCAGCTGCGCTACGGATATTTGCTTTGGACGGTTTCAAAACGATTTCAGTCTTTTAATTGCCGTATTTTATTTGGAACTGTAAACTGCCCGGAGTCATTGATTGTGATGGGCAGCTGCAGAAATTGGATACATAAATAAAACAAAAAAGGCAGAAACTCTGACCCAGCTGCCCCCTCCAAGAAAATGAGCTCCTCGCTTCCCCCCCCCCCCCAGACTGGAGGCGTTCCACCCAAACGCCTCTGAAGAACCTGGAATGAGAGAAGCCTCTCAGGAGGAGGAGGAGAGACGGAGGCTCTGCCAGAATGGCCTTTGCGCAAGAGGGGCATCCCTTGAAGACCCCCCGTGGGTGAGGCGGCCCCAAACAAAATAATAGCAATTAATAGCAATTAGACTTATATACCGCTTCATAGGGCTTTCAGCCCTCTCTAAGCGGTTTACAGAGTCAGCATATCGCCCCCACAGTCTGGGTCCTC